GAGGAGAGGGAGGAGAGGGGGAGGAAGAGAAGGGGGGAAGAAGAACAGAAGGGGGGCGGAAGGAGAGGATGGAAAGGAAGAAAGGGAGGGGTGAGGAAGAGGAGGAAGGAGAGGATGGAGAGGAAGAAGGAGAAAAAGGAAAGGTGCAGAGGGGAGGAGGGAAAGAGGAGGGAAGGGGAGGATGGACAGGAGGGAGGGGAGGAAGAAGAAGCAGGGGAGGAGGGGGAAGAGGAGGGAGGGGAGGGGGAGAATAGGAGGGAAGGAGAGGATGAAGAGGGAGAAGAGGATGAAGAGAATGAAGAAGATAGGGAGGATGGAGAAAGAGGAGAGGAGGGAAGGGAGGATGGAGAGGAGGGAGGAAAAGGGGGAGAAGAGGAGATGGGAAGAGGGAGAAGGGAAAGGAGGACTGGGGGAGGGGAAGCTTCCAAAGGGTGACTCCAATTTAAGGCAATGCCCCATCCATAAGTAATCTAAGTTGATGTCCTCTCTCATTGATTGCCAGTCATTCTATCATTAAGGATAGAGATTGTGGAGGCAGCTAAGTGGGGGGCATCCTATGGTTATAAGGGACCTCCCACTCCAGGGCAGAAGTGAGATGTGGAAGAAAGAAAAGTAACTTTGGGATAGTGACCAGCTGCCACCTCTCTCCCCACCAACAAGAAAATAAATATGTCTCCCTTTGGCTCAGTTCTGAAGAATGGGGCCCAGGTACCCAACACATTTATTATAATTAAATTATGTTCTCAGTGAGATGTCACCCCTTCTCCACTGTAAAATATTGATAGACTCAAAGCTAAATCATCAAAGGACATATTCTTAAATAAGCAGAATGAACAGTGGGCAGAAGTGGAAGAAACCAGTGTGGGTTGTGTGTGTGTGTGTGTGTGTGTGTGTGTGTCCTTTGAAAAATAAACTTTGTCACTGGGGAGACGCCCCCCAAATTTGTGGACACAGCTCTCCAACCCTCCCTAGCAGTGACCCAGCTGGACTATGCCCTGCAGGAGGAAGGGAGCCCACTGGCACCCAGAGTATGACTGCTCCAGGGCGAAGTGTCAAATTAGCTTTTGCTAGAAGTAACTTGAGCCAGGCAACTAAGACCCACGTTTGTGAAGGGAAGCACAGGCCACTGTGTGGGCCTGTCCACCTGGGAGGGGTGCCCAGACATGCTGAGCTGGAGAGAGGAGACCAGGCCACCCTGTGGGAGAGCTGTACCCAACAAGACTAGTGTCCTGGACCTGGACCCCAGGGAACCTTCAGTCGGGCCCAGGTGCTCAGGGCAGGTAGCTAGGCCTGCAGTCTGACCTAATTACTCTCCTTCCAGTCTGTTAGGGAGGAGGGACAGTGAAGAGCTGGGGGCAGGGTCCAAACACTCCGAGAGGGAAGGTGGCCTGGAAGGTAGAGGGGGCACTAGGGACAGTACTCAGGCGCTGCAAGTGTTAATCCGGAGGTCAAGGGCCAAGAGCAGTACTTTTCGCCATAATTTAATTTCTTTTGCTATAAATACTAAACGTAAACTGTCCATCCGGCTCGATTTTGCCCGTAGCCACCGACGCCTGGTTTTCAGTCGCTCACTAGCAGGAATGCGCCAGGCGCGTGCTTCGGAATACAGAGCGGTGATCAATCCGGCCCGAGGGGAGGGCAGCCGAAGGGGCGGGCGCCGGCCCAGCTCCGCGCCCATCTCTCTTTATTATAATGAATTAATTCGACTTTATTTATCCCATTTTCTGGAGCTGACAGAATGTTAATTTGAGTTGAAATTTCTCTCGCCTCTCACTCTCTGACCCCTGGCCTTCAGATTGGCGTGTTGTAATAACCTGAATCTTTCAACAGAGGCCCTGATAATTGTTACCTTATTAGCATGCAAATTGTTTAATTAATATTATTATGAAGGAGCGAACAATCCGTCCGTCACTTGACCCCTTGAGTGAGTCCGCGCGCCGCAGCCGGCTCCACGCATCTCAAAGCGACCATTTCAATCGCCCAGTAGCTTTTTTATTTTTATTTTTTTATGAGCTTGGGCCCCGAAAAGAAGGGAAAAAAAAAACCTCGAGCGTTGGAGTGAGGGACTTTAATGACGGTGGGGGTGGCCGGGACGACCCCAGCCCGGCTCGAGAGCTCTTCAGAGGCCCTGGGGCTGGCGGTGGCGCGGCGGGGAGTCACTAGGCTCCAACTGCAGCGCTCGCTGCCCCCACTCCGCCCCCCATCCGATCTTGAACATCAAAATTTCATAATTGCTTCCTTGTCAATTGCGGCTTTGAGGAGCGGTCGCTTTAAAGGAC